CGGGTGGGGGGCCCGCCGCCTGCCGCTGCCTCGCTCGGCGTGGGTCCCGGGGTAGGCGGGGCCCACGCAGGGCCCGGCTGGGCCCACAGCAGGGCCCTCCGCCCTCCGCCACCTCGCTTGGTATGGGTCCCGGGGTCCCAACGTTTTCTAAGAAATGAATGTTAGTATTGAATATACATGATTTAAAGCTATTGTGTAGATGTTCTGTGTGTACTGCTTCACTCAAGTCTATTTTTAAATACTTGTTCTCTGACAAGTGATGCTGTCCATATTACCAATGCAGCCTCTACTAAAGTGACCAAGCGATGCTGGAAATGAGCTTTGGTAGTTGCCTCTGCTTCAGTGCTATCAACTACTAAGGAGGGGGTTAGAAAATTCCTCATGCTGAAGGGGAAAGCTATCTAAGTAGTAAGAAAAATCTCTTATGTTCCAAAAGAAATCTATTGGGTTGTCAGGAAGACACGATACATTTTTACATAGAAAAACAGAAAAAATATGTCATGACTTTTCCCAATAATAGGTAGATGAGTGGAAGGTTCAGACAATGGGCTGCTGTGTCACAAGTCTGTTCCTGAAACGTTAGCTCTTCCAAAGACATGTGCAACCATCAGAAATTTCTCATTCAAGTACAATTAAAAAAAAAAACACTCTATGGCCCTTGGCCACATTTGTCTTATTGCAATATTCATGAAGCTTTATTGGGAATCTTTTGTGGAATTAAATTTATTTGGAAATGCTATTGTTTTACTGGACAAAAGAGAGAGAGAGAACTTGTTAAATGAACATGCTAAAGGATATAGCCAATCTATAATGAAATCCACATGTAAGGAATGTTGAAAGAGAAAAGCACTTTCCCTGCCTATTCTAGCTAGTGTCAGGAAGAAGTCATGTGATGCAATCTTGCATCAAGTTGGACAGAAATGAAATATCTGTAACTTGACAATCTGCCTCTAGAGTCTCCTTCCCACTGCCTCACAGTCATGCTCAAGAGTGTATTGTCGTGGATTAGAACTTTTCTGACAAATATGAATGCTTGGATTGTCAGCAAAATGGCAAGTACAAGCATACTAAGTACTTGACTAGTAATAATTCAGTTTTCAAATCCAATGCCATTTAATTATTTTAAACATTTGCTTGAAAAGTCTGTAACTTTTATGAGATGCATTTGGAACAAAACTTCAGGGCCAACGTATGAGCTGATAGTTAAGGCAGCTGGATCACACATGACCAACTGTGCAATACAAGTCCCAGATCTGGCCACTTGAGAAATACTCTAGGTGTGTGTGTGTGTGTGTGTGTGTGTGTGTGCCCCAAATCCCAACAGTAGGAAGAAATGGAGAATAATTGCAGCATGACCATTCCTCATGGTAGAGGGGAGGACATGATCTTCTCATTTTCCCTCTCTTTCTCTCGCCAGTGAGTGTACATGCCCTCTGGCAAAATAAAAAAAGAAAAAAAAAAAAAAAAAAAGAACAGAAGTCTGTTGATTGTAAGATTTACTTATAAAAATAGTAACTGAAAATTATCTTTCTTCTCCCTTCTTCCTGTCAGTCCCTCCAACACACACATAATTTATTCTAAATCAAATATTAACTATATAATACTTGTTATTATAGGAAAATTAGTTAAGCAATGTGGAAGGCTGCGCACCAGTGAATATCGCTGGTTTCTCAGAGAGCAAACAATTACACAATGCCAAAGGCCATGATTGGTTCCCCTTCAAAACCTCACCTTCAAAACCATACTCTGATGTGCCACTTCCCATAGCAAATTGGTGAGCTTAGAATCCCTCAGATTTGTATATCTGGCACCTTATGATTGGTCCACAAAAGCAACCAATCATAACCCACCTTCTACAATCCTTCATTAGCATATAGGACAACCAATCACCGCCCATCAACATGTATATAATCATGATCCCTGGCCCACAATCACCAGACGACCCTGAAGACCCTGAAGAGTTGTAACACTGTGACATCTCCAGAAGACCCTGAAGAGTTGTAACACCGCATCATCTCCAGACAACCCTGAAGACCCTGAAGAGTTGTGACACCGTGTGGTCTCTGGACGACCCTGAAGAGCTATGACAATGCATCATCTCCGGATGACCCTGAAGAGTTGTAACCCCGCATCATCTCCGTGTTGTAACACTGCGTTGTTCGTCCCGTCTCTCACTCCTTCCCTCAGGAAACCTGTTTGACTGTCCCCAGGGTTGGGACAAAGCAACAATAGGAATCTGTGTGGTCACCATATGGGATCTGGCTCCCTTAACCACCAGGACATGGGACTGGCCCAACAATGATATACTAAACAGAAAGTGTAATCATATTTTATTTAATGGAAAAAGGGAATATGATGTAACATGAGTGAAAGTGGGGTATAAATGGTTTATAGAGCCTCAACTTTGAGTGAAATATGCTTTAAAAAGACTGATACTTTTGGTGAAATTTCTGGTTGATGATATTTCACTAATTTATTATTTTCTTTTTTCTACATTTACATATTTTCAAAACCATTTACAATAAAAATGTGATATTTAAATAAAAAGGAAACTTATGTAGTAAATTGACACTAAAGTGTTTTATCTAGATTTTTAAAATGAGATATAAGACATTATATTACTTGTGTATTAGATGCATCTTTCTTTGACAAGCAGAACTCTGGATAATAATGATAGTCCATGCTTCTTGTGTTCATAGCCATTTTGACTTTCTTCCTTTGTTTATTTTAAGTTTTGTACACAGAAAAGAAGAGAAATATGAAAATCTCCCAGTGTCACAGGGATCTTCAGTACATTTTTATCCCAAAGCAAAAATTTCAGATGTCACAGCACTGTCATTATCTCTTGACATACCTCTTGGTTTCCATATCGTGACTCCTCAGTCCAGTGGAATAACTATGTCAACAATGGGACCATTGACTTCTAAGTCTACGATGAAAACCTATTCCCTAGAAGAAGTCAGCTCAGGTAAGCAAAATATGAACCAAATATTTTTATACTATTTTTAAAACATATATTTCAATAGATTCTTTACATGCCTCCCAGCCAGAAACAATATCTTATTATTCATGTCCAATAATGCTAACTTGTTCATGTCACATAAAAAGTAACTCGACTATAGTCATCATTGATCCTGGAATTAGCTCCTTAGATTCAAGCCACATAAATGCATGTGCCAAAATATGTCATCTTAAAGCTAGCTTAAGTTATCAGGATGATTTCTGGGTTGATTATGAACATACCCTAGAACTACTAAATATTTAAACATTTTAAGGTAAAGGATTAACTGCCCTTTTTATGAATGGTACCAGAAAGATTAAGTAACATTTTGCATATTTTGTGCCTTGAATTATGGCTTAGGAGAGGATTAAATAGATAACAGAAAGGAGAAACATAGAATAATAAGATCACAGTGAGAAAAGAGGGAAACATTAAAAAAAAAAAGAAAAAAGAAAAACTTGGAGGAAACAGTAGTCTGGTAGGAAGAAGTGAAGTTTTGACAGTTTCAATAATGGACTCAACAATACCAATACTGTAGGATGTTTGCTTCTTACCATGTTTAGGGAACTGTGAAGGGTATATTTTCATGATTACTGAAAACACCACTGTCCTTGGAAACACAGGACCTTCTGTTATTCTATGCCTACCATGCAAGGCATTGGGTAAAGTATGTTGCTTCTCTCAGTCTCATTTTGTACAACTGTGAAATGGGGACTAACATATAAACTTCATAGGGCTATGAGCTTGAGATATGTAAGAGTAGCACCTAGCACATAATAAGCACTCAATAAAAATTAGTTGTAAATCTCAATATACCTATAAGCACCTTCTTTTAGTGTAGCTATTTTTCAGGTTTGTGTTTCAGTTGCCAATCAACTAGTAAGTTTCAAAACTGGTAGCACAAATGCTCCCCTGACTATCTGTTGTTTCCATTGTCTTTTCATTTTCTGTAGACATTGATTTTTAGAGAGATTTTTTGCTAAAGGGCGTGCACACTCACCCTACTCCCCGGGGGGATGGCCAGATTGCAATCCCTCCTCTGGAAATTTTGGGCATGCACCACATGCACCCGGCATGAGTTTTAAGCTGCCACATCTGGGACTTGAACTGTGATCAGCCACATGGGAGTCCAGCGATGTAACCATTAAGCCATTTGCTCATCCCTTTCTGCAGACATTTATAGCCTGGTTGCCTCTCATCTATATTCATTTTGTTTCTGGTATTTTCCTGACCTTTGACACAGTGTTATATGGATTTTGTCCTACTGCCATTATAGTCATATTCCATTTCACTGTTTATATGACTAAGGTAATTTACCAAAGAAGCCTCCGAAGTTTACCGTAACCTTTAGCAATGACCAACCTGTATATACTTAAGAATGTAAATATAAATTTTGGATCCAGGAAAGGAAATTGTTGCATTCTTTGGCATGGCATCAATCATAGCATATAGTCTATACTGAGGTTAAACTGTAAAGGCTCACAGTATGGGGTGGGGGAGGGGACAAAATACAAAGACTTTTTTTACAAGGTAACTGCTGAATTGGGATGTGGTCTTCTCCGTCAGTGACTATAGCTTCTGCTGCTGTAGATAGAGATCTGGGCCCACTGAAACTTGTTGCATCCAGTCCATGGCTATCTGTTGTTCTAGCTGAAATAACAACGAAAGGGACAGCCCCATAGCCTCACGATTAATGGAGACAAATCCCATTTGGTCAGCTGTGGTTTGAATCTCAGTCCTGGTGGCTTGGAAAAGACATTAAATACATGTGTGTGTGCCCAGAATCCTAACAAGATAAAGAAATAGAGGAGAAGGGATTGTGGTGTGATCATGCCCTATTAGGAGGTGTCCTTTCTCTCACACATGTGCACGCTCTCTCATCTGTCTGTCTGAGGAGTACACACATCCTCTGGAAATTAAAACAATGAAATAATCTAGAACCAAAATTATTGTGTGTTATTTTCTTTTGAAAAATTCCTTTTGAAATACAAAGGTTTTCACCCCTCAAGATGAATATTAAGAAGCCTGCTGTATGGGACCAGCAGATAGCATGGTGATTAAGGTGCTGGACTCCTACATGGCTGACTGTAGTTCAAGTCCTGGAGCCAGAGGCTTGAAATTCACGTCGAGTATGTGAGTGTGCAGGCCCAAAAATCTTGGGAGGAGGATGGAAGGGAAGGGGTTGTGATGTGGCCCTACCCCCTAGAGGGGGTGGTTCTCACCTTCCCCTCTCCCTGTCTCTCTGTTTCTCTCCAACAAGTGCACATGCCCTATGGCAAAAACCTTAAAAAGTTATAAAAAAAAAAAAAAGCCTTCCGTATACTTTTCCCAAAGGTATTAAAAAAAGAATTATTTACGTAATTTTGTTTATTATTATTCTTTCTCAAAATTTATTATATGACATATGTGTTCACCAGAGAGACAGAGAGAGAGAAAGTGAAAAGCAGGGTGCCAGGCCTGGAACTTGAGCCACAGTCGGCAGTACAGGAGTCCAGCTCTTCAATCACCATGCCACCTTCTGGCCCAGAATTTAAGAATTAAATACTTAACTGGAAATGAATTGCCTTAATTCCATGTTTCTTCTCAGCAAAATACTGTGAGAAATCCTTCTTAAGACATGCGGTTTTATTCCTTTATATCTTTTACCTTGCTTTGGTTTCATTAAAGATATTAGAATCTAAAATAAACTCTAGACTGTCTTAATCCTTTGATGATTTTGGACCCAAGGCCACATTCATTAAAACCCTGTACTATAATAATAACTATCATTTACTGCATACTAGCTAAATGCTAAACGCTGCCAAATACTGACCTAATTATCACCAATCCTCGTATCTCCTTATACGAGGTAGTAGCATTCTTATTTCATATTAAAGAAAAAAACAGAAACTCAGAAAGTCTAAATCCTTTGACTTAATATAAGGGGGGAGTTTCAAAAAGTTCACAGAAAGGATCAGCTTAGTAGTGCAGTGATAAAATACTGCCCAAGAGAAGCCGGATCCTGCATGATAACTGAGGTTTGAATCCCCTCCAGTCAGCCGGAAAGAGTCCAGGTGCATACAAGTACCCAAGATCCAACAGTCTGGAGGTCTGGAGGAAAGGGACCATGACCTGACTGGACCCTGTGGATAGCACTCATCTTTTTCCCACCCTCTCTCTCAATCACTCTTTTGTGTATGTACTCTATCATGAATAAAGAAAAAAATATTTTTAAGTTCCTATGAAGATCCTATTCATGGATTTCAAAATTTTGGGGCACTAAAATAAACTCATACTTTACTGACATTTTCCGTGAAATTTTGGAAGTGCCATTGTACGTGGCAGAGTTGAAATGTAAGTGCAAGTTTGTCTAAATCCAAGACATTCTCTTCCCACTTGGCCCTGATGCCTCTTCGCAGACACATCGTTAGGTTTATCTAGCACAGTTCTTTCTGCACAAAATCATGAAACTTATTTTATATTTGAATCTTTCCAAAAATTTTGAGAGTAAACTTCTACAAGGATACTAGAATCTAATTAACCGTCACTTTGTCTTTCTAATAAGATATTTTAGTTAGAGGAAGTTTATGTTTTTATCTGGCAAAAGAACTAGCCATGGTCAGGAGAGGACTCCTTTGAGGCTTTAGTTTACAAGTAGCAATTGGAAGAGTACAGCCAATATGAAATATAGTAAGTCTATATATATATATGTGTGTGTGTTTTATATATTTATATTTATATATCACACATCCAAATTTAACAGACTCAGATGTTTTACCTACTCAAAAACCGATGATGCTTTTTTTTTTCTTTTTTTTGGAGAGGTTTTTGCTATAGGGCGCATGTGCTCGCCAGACAGATAGAGAGAGACAGAGAGACAGAAAGCGAGAAATCACCCCCCGGGGGGATGGCCACGCTGCAATCCCTTCTCTGTTCTCCTCTCAGGATCTTGGGCACGCATGCACACACGTCCAGCATGAGTTTTAAGCCACTAGGTCCGGGACTCGAACCACAGTTGAGTACATGGGAGTCCAGTGGCATAGCCATTACGCTAACTGCTGGTCCCGATGATGCTTGTAGTATACCAAATAATCAGTAAGATAGTCATTGTGCTGATCCTATCATTGATATTCTAAGATAACTGAGAAAAACCTTTAGGAGTTGAAGATGGTACTGAAACTATTCACTTAATGGTACTTTACAGATTTTGCTTAAAGCTTCGATCTATTCTCATTGGATTTGACAGTGACAATAAAATGTACAAAAAGTATAGGTTTTTGTTTCGTTTTGTTTTTAGGTTTTTGCCATGGGGCGCACGCACTTGCCAGAGAGAAACAGTGAGAGGAAAAGTGAGAAATCATGCCCCAGGGGGAATGGCCACACCGCAATCCCTTCTCATCCATTCTCCTACTGGGATTTTGGGCACATAAGCACATGCACAGTGTGATTTTCAAGCCACCACGTCCAGAAACCTGACTGCAGTCAGCCATCTGGGGACAGTGCCTTAGCTATCACACCACTTGCTGGTCCCAAAAAATAAAGTTTAATAGAAACAGGAAATAAAAAAAATGACTTTTGGCTTCTTTAATGTCCTTTTAGTTACTTCTCTCTTGGTTTCTTTCCTCTTTGGTTTCCCTGAAAGAACTCAGCTTTATTCCAGAGAAACTGCCTGAGATACCTATGATTGGGGAAGGAGAAGATTATTTCCTTTCTTTGTTTGGGGATGCAAAGAAACTTATTCCACACTCAGACTACATTGAGAAAACTTATAAACACTTTTCTACAATTCTTGAAGAAGTTGGCCAATCTACGTCCAGGTACACATTCTGTTTGTGTGTACGCTATTTAATATCTTTCATTGGGGTAGGACCAATAAATCAGTAGAAAATAAAGTTCTTATCTATTCTTAGATTTATGAGCTCAGCAAAATCCCTAAGCAATTCATTGCAATATAACTGTTTCATGTTCTGAGCAGTTAAAAGCAATTGATACAACTTTTTAGAAAGTCAAATAAGAAATATTAAGTCTTCAGAGATGCCAGAGAAAACATCATCATTACCTAATCTCTACAAATAGAGTCAACTCAATTATCCAAGAATGTGTTTATTGGTGGTGAATCATTCTGATGGGTCTGACATAATTTTTTCTTCTGTTATAGTAGGCTCTTGAATTTAAGACAAGGTAAATTAACTTCTTTTTTAATCTCATTGATCCATTTTTGTGGCTGTTAGTGTCTATGGCAAAAGGAATTGACCAGGGAAGAAAGTTGATACCAGGAGTAAAATACAAGAGTTGGCACATCTAATCATTTAACTTTGCTTTACTTATTCCATGAACAACGGACTGAATCGTGAAATGTTGGTGATAAACACATATTGATAGAGGGTATTAGAGGACTGAAAGAAGTTGTTAACTAGAGGTGAGGGTCAGATATGAAGGAAACTTTTCCTTTTATGCTGTTTCCTAAATTCAGTCACTTATGTCCTATTACCACTTAACTGTGGAAAGTAAGTGTTTGCTCAACTGTCTAAAAATATCTTATCGAGTCAGTCAGTACCTGCCATGTTACTATTTGGGGCAATTTTTTTTTTCAAAAAGAATTAACTACGGTTTTAAGAACTTATACTCAGGACATGGAAGACTTGTAGATAGGTGAGCATTAAAGAGAGGCAAATAACACACCTAGGGTTCAGAGAAAGGAGAGCTTGGCGCAGCAAGCTCTCTTGCTGGGGATAATCTGTGAAGATTCTATAAAGACACTGTTATTTAGATAAGACTTTAAAGAACAGATGAGTGTTGGATATACAAATTTGGAGTGTGTTAGAGCATTCTTAGATGATTCATTTTCAAACCTACCTACCCTATTAAAGAACAGATGAGTGTTGGATATACAAATTTGGAGTGTGTTAGAGCATTCTTAGATGATTCATTTTCAAACCTACCTACCCTATTGGATTACCTGGGGAGCTTTTAATGTCCTGAATGGAATCTCAGACTTTGACTTAGAATCTCTAGTGATAGAATTGATCATCTAGGGCCAGCAGGTGGCATGTAAGTTAAGGCACTGGATCCCACATGGCCAACTGCATAGGTCAAGTCCAGGACCCAGCAGTTTGAAAAATTGTGCTAGGCACGTGTGCATGCATGCCCAAAAATCCCCAAAAGAGACTGGAGTAGAAGGGACTGCACTGTGGTCATTCTGGATGGGGATGATTTCTCCTGTCTCTCTTTTTCTCTCTGGTGAACATATGTGCCCTATGGCAAAAAAACACAAAAACAAATCGAAAAAAAAAACTAAAAAAAAAAAAAAAAGAAATTGGGTATCCACTTCCTTATCTTTTTTTAAATCCCAAGATTATTCTAATGCATATCCAGGGTTGAGAGCAACTAGCCTACAGCAAAGGATTATCATAAACAAAGAAAGACAGAAGCGCTATGATCAGCTATGAAGACTTTTATAGTACAGTTTCTTGAAGAAATGCATGAAGAGGTCTAACAGAGTGGTAGATGGCAGAGTTGGGGACAGATCACAGTGAGCCTTGAACTCGGTTAAATAATTGGCATCGCCATGGATAATAGGAAGCAATGAGAAGCCCTCCAACAGCAGAATGACCAGTTGTGATTCAGAACAGTTAATCTGTGGAATTCATAGCATGAATTCATGTTAGATTTTGTCAAATGCTTTTTATGCACTATTGAGATGAACTTTTTTTTTCTTTTTTTCTTTTTTTTTTTTTTTGGAGAGGTTTTTGCTATAGGGTGCATGCGCTCGCCAGACAGACAGAGACATAGAGAAAGAAAGCAAGAAATCACCCCCCAGGGGGGATGGTCACGTCGCAATCCCTTCTCCTCCATTCTCCTCTCGGGATCTTGGGCACCCACGCACATGCGACCGGCGTGAATTTTAAGCCACGGGGTCCGGAATGCTAACTGTGGTCGACTACGTGGGAGTCCAGTGACATAGCCATTACGCTAACTGCTGGTCCCAACTTTTTTTTTTTTTTTAATGGTAATCTCGGACTCTTACAACAAACCTCAGTTGGTTATGTTTATCCTTTTAATATATAATTAAACTGAGCTTATTAATATTTCATTTCAAACTTGCATCTATGTTTGTGAAGAATATTAATTTGTAGTTTTATTTTTCTGCAATCTGTCTGCTTTGCTATCAGAGTAATGCTCATTTCAGAATGAGTTGGGAAAACTACTCTCTTTTCTTTCATTTTGTGTAAGAATTGTGTAGAAGTAATATTATTTTTTCCTTAAGTGTCTTATAAAATGGATCAGTGAAGCTATCTGAGCCTTGAGTTTCTCTGTGGGCAAGTTTTTAAACTACACATTCTATTTTTAAGTAGATATCGGGCTATTCTGGTTATTGATTTCTTCTTAAGTGAATCTTAGGTTATGTCTTTCACTGAATTTACCTATTTCATCTAAGTTCTCAAACTTACTGGCATAAAGTTGTTCATAATATTCCCTTACTTATTTTTTAGTATTTGCAGAATCTGTACTGCCATGGTCTTTTGAGTCTTTTCTTTTTCCTGATCTGTCTTATTAGAGATATTTCTGTTTTATTGAGCTTCTCAATCAATCAGTGTTTGGTTTCATTGATTTCCTCTATCAAGTTCTCTGAGTCTTCCCAAATTTTTGTTTAAAAGCAGAAAAAGTTGTGGGGCTGGCTCTGTGAACTAGTAGTTAAAGGAGTCAAATCCCGCTTGGACAATCATAGTTTGAACCCCAGCCCTGGAGGCTTGAATACTGTGCTGGCACATGTGCACATGTATATGCATGCCCCAAATCCCTACAGGATGGAGAAATGGAGGAGACCGAGGCATGACTCTGCCCCATTTTAGGGTGCTTTCTCTCTCCCTCTCTCTCTCTCTCTTTCTCACTGGCAAACGTACATACTCTTTGGCAAATAAAATAAAATCAAAACATAACACCACACTTCCTCATCAGCACATACCCTTCCCCCAACTGCAAACACAGATGCCAACTTGTATAGAAAATGTTAGGTAGATATATGTTGGAAGAACTGAAACTCTAAAGACAATTTTAGTAAACTACAATAGCAAAAACCTGAAAGCAAACAAATATCATGGAGCTATCAAGGAGAATCTAGCAACTAGATAAATCAGTGCTTAAATAATGGAAAGTTATTTTAGAACATTACATAGCCATGTGTCTCTTCCAGTGTCTTTTCAAATCCAGCCTTGTAGAAGCTACTGACTGGAAGACTAGAACATCACTCCCCACTCAGCCAATCACAAATTACAAGCGACATAGCCATTACGCTAACTGCTGGTCCCAACTTTTTTTTTTTTTTTTAATGGTAATCTTGGACTCTTAACAACAAACCTCAGTTGGTTATGTTTATCCTTTTAATATATAATTAAACTGAGCTTATTAATATTTCATTTCAAACTTGCATCTATGTTTGTGAAGAATATTAATTTGTAGTTTTATTTTTCTGCAATCTGTCTGCTTTGCTATCAGAGTAATGCTCATTTCAGAATGAGTTGGGAAAACTACTCTCTTTTCTTTCATTTTGTGTAAGAATTGTGTAGAAGTAATATTATTTTTTCCTTAAGTGTCTTATAAAATGGATCAGTGAAGCTATCTGAGCCTTGAGTTTCTCTGTGGGCAAGTTTTTAAACTACACATTCTATTTTTAAGTAGATATCGGGCTATTCTGGTTATTGATTTCTTCTTAAGTGAATCTTAGGTTATGTCTTTCACTGAATTTACCTATTTCATCTAAGTTCTCAAACTTACTGGCATAAAGTTGTTCATAATATTCCCTTACTTATTTTTTAGTATTTGCAGAATCTGTACTGCCATGGTCTTTTGAGTCTTTTCTTTTTCCTGATCTGTCTTATTAGAGATATTTCTGTTTTATTGAGCTTCTCAATCAATCAGTGTTTGGTTTCATTGATTTCCTCTATCAAGTTCTCTGAGTCTTCCCAAATTTTTGTTTAAAAGCAGAAAAAGTTGTGGGGCTGGCTCTGTGAACTAGTAGTTAAAGGAGTCAAATCCCGCTTGGACAATCATAGTTTGAACCCCAGCCCTGGAGGCTTGAATACTGTGCTGGCACATGTGCACATGTATATGCATGCCCCAAATCCCTACAGGATGGAGAAATGGAGGAGACCGAGGCATGACTCTGCCCCATTTTAGGGTGCTTTCTCTCTCCCTCTCTCTCTCTCTCTTTCTCACTGGCAAACGTACATACTCTTTGGCAAATAAAATAAAATCAAAACATAACACCACACTTCCTCATCAGCACATACCCTTCCCCCAACTGCAAACACAGATGCCAACTTGTATAGAAAATGTTAGGTAGATATATGTTGGAAGAACTGAAACTCTAAAGACAATTTTAGTAAACTACAATAGCAAAAACCTGAAAGCAAACAAATATCATGGAGCTATCAAGGAGAATCTAGCAACTAGATAAATCAGTGCTTAAATAATGGAAAGTTATTTTAGAACATTACATAGCCATGTGTCTCTTCCAGTGTCTTTTCAAATCCAGCCTTGTAGAAGCTACTGACTGGAAGACTAGAACATCACTCCCCACTCAGCCAATCACAAATTACAAGCAGGGGTCTCCAGTCACTTTCCTCTGAAGATAAATGGGAAGGCTTACCAGGAAGAGAAAAAGATAACTGTTAAAGGCTATGTGATAGCATGTTATCGGCCCACCTTTGTGCATTTCTGTGTATTATGTGAAGTATTTGCCTGTAGCTTTAGGTCTTATATCAAAATGAAGGCAAATGCAGTGCCCTGATATAGACAACTGTTTTCTTCAGATGAG